CCAGATTCTAAATGGACTGGGGGACTGGGATCAGGAAAGAGGAGGCAGTAAGAAGGGAAGAGAGGGGATAAGGGAGTGGAAAGGGGGGAGGCTTGGGGGGCAAAAGCCTGTTCTGGGAGTCAGCACGCAGGCTTCTCTATTGAGGAGGGAGGTGGGTGTCTCATTGTGTTGTGTTACTGATTCACTCAAAGGTTAGCATTTGTTTAATCCTCAGGAGTTATGCAGTACTTATTATCACCCTTAATTTGCATACAAGGAGCACAGTTAATTTGCATACAAGGACTCCATTTCGTACCGGTCTTACCACACTGGTCTGACTGACTGGGTTTTGGAAATTTTTTTGTGGTTAGCTAGCTGGCTTTTGTAAGCAGCCTGGCTATCGGGTTGGGGATATTTATAACATGTATGAACTGCATTGTACTCCAGGCAGATGGTCTTGGAGGGAATTCCTTTGAGCTGAGTTTAAGGAAGTTCCTTGAGCCAAGACTGAAGGAATTTTTTCCCCTCATTTGACAACAAACACATTTTGTACAGTTGGATAGGGACTTCCAAACTGTGTGTGTGTGTGTGTGTGTGTGTGTGTGTGTGTGTAAGTGGTGGGGAGAATGAGTGGACATTCTAGATCTCTCCACAGGCATCTTCTTCACTCAGGCCCACTGGGTCTGGAGCTGACACATGGATTCAGTCACAAAAGCAAAGGGTAGTCCTGCCTACCATTCCCTGAGCCCCAGGCTCAGCATAGCCCTTGTGTAGGAATCCGCTGAGGGGGAATGTGTCCTAGGGGTGGAATGTGGCCTAGAGCTCTCACCCATATCTTCTTTCATTTCTCTCCAGATGTCTCCACCCCCGCAGAAGGCTCAGCACTCTCGTGACCACTGCTTACTGCGTTGTAACTGGAGATGGGGCCTCTCCAGAAACTGCACATCCCTAACAGGGGAGGGAAACTGGTCCCTGGTGGACGGCTGACAGCCTTACAGAAATCCTCCCTGTGATTTCTGACTGTCCAGACAGCTAGCTGCTCTCCCTGAGTACAGCTGTCTATGAAAGAAAACACTCCTTTTGGAGGTCGCCAATCTGAAAGGTCCTAGAGAAGGCACAGCACAATGTGCATTAAAAAACTTCAGCTGCAGGAACGTGAAAATAGGCCAGAAATTATCTTAAGAGATTCCTTAGGGGGTGGAAGTAATGAAACAAAAAAGAGGTTGAGAGACGCTGCCCTAAAATTTTTAAAAATTAAAATTAGGATAAACTTGCGCATTGGGACCGGAAGGTTGAGGGAGGCAGGAGCTGCAGAGGACCTGTATTTCTCATCACCCGAGATTGGACAATCCACTGAAGGAGACAGACAGCCTTCACAGTTGGGGTGGGTGGTTACAAATGATGCTGGTCTGGACATGGGCTCCCAGTGAGGGTCAATTCTACTTCTGCCATACGCAAGAGAGCCGACCTTGAACAAGATATTGGCCTTGCTGTTCCCGGTGTTCACTGGTAGGACGGAGACAAAGGTGTGATGAAATAGTGTAGCTGGAGGAAAAGCAGCTCAGCTACGCGTGTGTGGCTAAGGCGTGTCCGGGGCGCAGTCTCCCTCCTGAGTATGAGAGCCGGGAGACTACACACTGGATACCCTGGGCTCCCGCCCCTAGTGAGATCTGCGCATGCCTCGGTCCCTCCCATGATTGGTGGGACTTGGCCCCACTGGGGTTCAGTGAGCTGCCGTAGAGGCCCATCTATTCGCTTCTAAAAGATAATCCCAGGAAGGGATCCAGCATGCACTGGGGTGCCATGGTAGCAGGTGTTTCTCCGAAGCTTCAAGGACTTCTTGGTTGCTAAAGTCACACAGATCACCTCTGCTGCTAACTGGATTCCCAACCCTCATTCCAAATGTGAACCTTAGTCTGATCTACAGCTAGCTGAACTCATGCCCGCTGACCTGGCTCGGCTCTCACTCTCCCCTAGTCTTCATCCTGATTATCCAACGTTTCCCAAACTGAGACCACACGCTTCCACATTCACAGGCTTGCCATGTCTGTGTCCCTGCTGGGTTTAGAGTTACTTAGTATTGATGATAAGTAGACTTTTTTTTTTTTTTTTTTTTTTGGTTTTTCGAGACAAGGTTTCTCTGTGTAGCTTTGCGCCTCTCCTAGAGCTCACTTGGTAGTCCAGGCTGGCCTCGAACTCACAGAGATCCGCCTGCCTCTGCCTCCCGAGTGCTGGGATTAAAGGCGTGCGCCACCAACGCCCGGCTATGATAAGTAGACTTTTAAAGAATTCCATGTTAGTGTTATTCTGAGTGAGTTACCTCAGAAATCAGCAAGACTGGTAATATTGTTTCTAATGTGTTCAAATATAAAAAGCTCAACATTTGAAAAATTGTTTTCCATGGGTCAGCTGCCTAAAGCTGTCTTCTGTAATCCTAGAAGAACACACAGCACACTACCAAGGGTTGGTATAGTTTATTTTAAGTCTAGGATACCAACCCCAGGAGTGCTGTGCACAATCGTCCTCCCAACAGCAACCTCTGGCCAGACGTGGGCTGTGGCGCCCTCTGCTGACAGAATCTGGGAGTGGTGCAGCTTGGCGCCTCTTCTACCTGGGCTGGTTCAGCGTCCTGACTCGACGTTCAGTGGACCACACACTACACTAACAAGCTGTTCCACTGTCTTGATGGAGAACAAAGATACAATGTGAAACAGAAACGCTGAATTCAGAAAAGCTGGACAAGCTTGGTGTGTGGTGGGCAGGGAGTCTCAGATCTAAGGGGTCTGCTGAGAGGGCCTAGACCAAGTTTAGGCATTGAAGGTGGGGTGGAGTCGGGTCCAGGGTGGCAGAACGGCAGGACAGCAGGCACCTGGGTAGCGATTGGGTATTGTGCAGGTTGGAGAAACATGGTTGGGGCTGGGCCAAAGCAGACTTTCGAGAAACATTCACAAGGGCATGAGCTAGCAGCCTTTGGTTCCCAAGAGAGGGGCTGAGGCGGGGATGATCGAAGTGGCTTCAGGAAGCCTGCTCCCTATCCCAGGTCCTTCTCCCATTGGGTGTGTTATGAACACAGAGCCAACTACTGCTTAGAGGCTACAAGGTGGCGCCTGACTCTTACTGGCTCCCAGAGACCTAGGCCCCCTCCCCCAACACAGTGTGTATTAATAGTATCACTTGGCTAAGATTTGCTGTTGGTTTTCTTATAAAGTGTTAAGTCTCATCTGTGTGTGTGTGTGTGTGTGTGTGTGTGTGTGTGTGTGTGTGTGTGTAATAAGACCCTAACATCAGAAAACTGATCTTCTCATTGATTCTAGCAAAGATCTCATGATGTAAAAATCTAATACATATTATCTCATTTATAAAGGAGCTGCCTGGGAACCAGGGCATCAACAGTGCCAGATCAGGGCCACAAGCTACCGAAAACTGAATTCCAGTGCCCAAACTTGTAGCCCAATAAGATCTTGGTTGTTGCTGCTGGTGGTGGTAGGGCAGATCTTGACAGAATTTTAAAATGTAGCACATACAGCATATTTGAAGTTGGATAATTTTTTGGTCAAAGGGTCAAACTGAGAGACTAAAACTCCAGGAGTGGAACTTGGGCAGCTGGGACAGCAAGTGGGTAGAATGATGATGTTGCTGAATAAGCCTGTCACCTGGCTGTTCATCCAGCCAAGGAGCACTAGAGTGGTGTGCACTGAAGCCTCAGATGTTCCAAGTTAAGTTCCATCCAGGATATCAAAGACACTGTATGAACACATTGCCCACGGCCTAAGCTGCCCCTCAGTCCCAGTTTATAGGATTTTATTGCCTGCTCCAGGAACTTGAAACCAGGAGAGGCCCCAGAAGCAAAGCACCTGCAGGTCCTAGTCTCTGCCCCCACCTCGCTCTAGGAGGTTAATTCTCAAAGTTGGTGCCTCTGACCTTTGGGAATCATTCTGAGGAAAGTCCACCTGCTTCTCCCTACTTGAAGTAGAGAATTCACGTCCTTAACGCCTCTAGCTCTGAACAAGGGGATGCTCAGCTCTGCCAGACTCTGAAAGACTTCCCCCAGAGTCGAGTTGGGCAAACCCGCTCACCCATGCTTGGGAGAGAGCCTCTTATCTCCATGAAAGAGGAGGCTTGATGGTTCCTCTGGGAAAGGTAGGCTGAGTAGAGTTTGTGATTGGAACATTAGGCTTTCAAGATTCACATATTTACCAGGCGGTGGTGGTGTACAACTTTAATCCCAGCATTTGGGGGGTAGGGACAGGTGGATCTTGTGAGTTTGAGGCCAGCCTGGGCTACAGAGCAAGTTCCAGGACAGCCAGAGCTACATTGAGAAACCCTGTCTTGAAAAAAACAAAACAAAACAAAACCCATATTTACTAAGTGCTGTAACAGCAGATAGGGCAGGGCTTTCCTTCTTTCCTTTGTCATAAATCCATGATCAGCTGCAACTGAAGACGGCCAGTCTGGTGCGGCTGGGACTCAGTGGGCCCTGTTTCATTCAGGGATAGGCTGAGGACGAGGTATGACACATAGCCCCAGTACCACCTTACCCCCCGCACAGCCAGGCTAGGGTCTCAACCTCTTTTCCTTTCCCGTCCTCACCCCACCCAGAACCAGAGCTCTAATGGATGGCTGTCAGGGTTCAGCCTCACCATGGCAGGAACGAGCTTCGATAGAACGCCTTAGAACATCAGGACACCCGTAGGATGGGTCTCCACATGAAAGTGGAGACCACCAACCTGTCAAGACTGGACCCCTGGGCTACCTGGGAAACACCCTGGGAGCAGGAAGCAGGGAATGGGTCAGGGTGAGAATGTGGACAACACCAGCCGCGGTTCAACTGACCACAGGGGACAGCTGACCTTCAAGAGGATCACAAGGTTGGGGACCAAAGGCTTGGCATGAGAACTAGGGTCCACGGGTGAGGATGCTTATCTGCTGCTCCAGCAGGCTGCTGTCCATGCCTGAAAGCCCACGGTGACTGAGCTGGCTGGGGACTCTGAGTGAATAATGCAAGTCAGCCAGAATCAGAACCCATTTCACAGAACACTGGAGTGCTGCTCTTTTCCTAATCATATTCAATAAACACAGCCCAGGGGCTTTCTCTACTTCTCTTTGGGGGAGGGGGGAGGGGGCCTGTGACAGGAGTGATGCTCAGAATTGAGCATACGGCATCACCTGGAGAACCTGTTGATGCTGCAGGCCCTACTCCAGAAGGCCTGATTCTAGGGACCTCGAGGAAAGCCCACAGGTTCACCTTCCCAAGCTCTCAATGCAAGTGCCCCACTGGGTGTCCCTTGGAAGGGCTGAGTGCAAGGAGGGCTTAGGTGGCCTGATGAACGAGGAACCAAGTTGGAAGGGTCAGTCTGTAGAAACAGGGTGACGGATGGATGGAGCGATAGCTTCTACCTCTCTCTGCTGCTAGAAGGCCCCTTTGGAATGAACGTACTTTAAAAAAAAAAGTGAACACAGTTGGCCTCTGGACGGTGGGAGCTGGGAGAACCCCAATTCATGCAGGGCAGTTTGGTTTGAAAGGCACTTTGGGTGCCGTGGGGCTGCTGGTATAGTGGTGAGCACTACCTTCGAGCAGTCATTCCCCACCTGTGGGTCGCCATCATGGGAAACCGTGTACTTCCGATGGCCTTAGGAATTGAGACACTGCTCGGTAGCAAAATTACAGTTACGGTTGGGGGTTCCTGAGAGCATCATAAATACGTGTTTTCCAACGGTGGCAACCCACAGGTGGAGAACCTCTACCTTAGGGTGTTATCTGTGGGGTCTGTCAGCAGATCGCTTGGGACACTAAGCATCAGGGAAGAGCTGCAAGACCACCCGTGGTAGTGGTAGGGTGAGGTGACGGGGGCCATGTGAAAACCAATCAGAGCGCCCAGAGGCCATGCCTTCTTTACTCAAGTCTTCCTGGTTCTGGCTTCTAAAGGGAGGGGCTGGGTCTGCAGTGCCTTTGGTGTCTGCTGTGGGAATTTTAGAGAAAGAGCGTTTGGTCCCAGATAAAGGGCACCTATTCTGAACGAAGTAACAGTCCCGTATCGGAGACCATTACCCGGGAATGTGGTGAAGGGTGGGGCCTGGCTCAGGGATGCCCCTCCTTCCGTGGCCACCAGCTAAGCCAGGCTTCCCGTCCTTTCAGCTCTGCTGGGAGGCCTTTTTGGCCAAGCTCTGGCTCGAGAGAGGAGTAGAGCTGCCTTCTGACCTGGCCGGGGCGTGCCCTTCCAACAGTCCTTCCAGGTAGGTGCTCAGAGCCTGAAGGTACTGAGTAAGCTGGACGGAAGCCGATGAGGTCTGCAGGCTCAGATAGCGGCCATACTGCTTCAGGCCCTCTTGCCGGTTGCTGCGGTATGCCGTCATCAATTCTAGGAAGCTCACGTTGTGAAGAGCCAAGAGGCGGGCCTCAGGCAGGGGCAGGACACTTGCCTGAACTAGGGGCTGCAGGGAGGCGAAGCACTGCAAGTTACTGAAGGGGTAGACATGCTGGACCAGCTGTGGTCCTGGGGAGATCTCTAGGAGACAGCACAAGTCTCGCATGGCCAGCACGGCCGCCAGGGCACTCTGTTCACTCATGTTCCTTGCCAGGTAGGTCTTGGCCAGGTTTCTGAGTTTGAAGCTGCTGGCCCCGGGGATACGTTCCTGGATGAGAGGCAACACGGCCAGGAAACCGGAGATGGCGTCCTGGAATTCCCACAGCTTGTCAATATCCTCCAGGGCCTTGAAGAAGATGGGGAACCCAGACCCCCAGAGCTTGGAGCAGGCCAAGATGGGACGGTGCATGGAGTCAAGGAAGCGGAGGAAGTGCTTAAGTCCGACCTCCAGGGAGACGGCCTTGGAGTAGACACTGAAGGCCCCGGGCTGGATGAGCACTCGGAACTTGCTTTCCCGATTCACGGCTGCCAGCTGGCTAATTTTCTGGGCTAGGCAGGAAAGAAGGGCAGGGTGAGTGTCCACGGTTCAGGAGGCACTGGGCTGGGTGCAAGGGGTCAGGCTGCTGACTCACTATCTAGAGAGCCCACCCTAAGGCCTGCTGGCAGAAACCACATATCCTCCACGGGCAGTTCTTGCCTGGCTCTGATGGGAGAGGGGTCGGGGGGCTCACTTGTCGGGAAGACGGCTCTTCCTATCCCCCCTGCCCTCGAGTTTGCCCAACCCTAAGAACTCTTCCCCTTTTGGATTTTCTCAGCCTCCACCTCCACCAGAGACCCCAGAATGTTTCTTCTGGGCCTTCTGTTCTCCTGCTCCTACCTCCAACCCCATCGGTCCCCGCTGGATCACAGCCCAGGGCTGCAGACAGCAGAAATGGCCTATGTATCCTATAAAAGTATGGCCCAGAGTCTCCTCCTGAAGCCTACAGATGGATTCTTTTGAGCTATACAAATACCCAAGGCTTCTGGCTGGTAGGCTAGCCCCAATGGCAGGGCTCAAAACTGGTTGGCCAGGGCAAAGGGTCAGAGCTGAGGGACCAGGGCAAGGATGCCATCGAGGAAGATAAGGGTCTTCCAGGAGGAGGAGTCACAACTCTCTGCGTCCTAGATTCTGCAGGCCTCCCTGTGTATCCATTTGTGGGGCGGACCCTGTTTTGGGAAATGTGTGCTCAAAGCCAAAGGTCAAGTGTGGATTACTTGTCAGCCATGAGCTCACACACCGTTCCCAGCCTCTCCATCTTGTCAGAAATGAACCTGTGGTGTTACACGTCTTCCTCCCATGCCCAGGTTCCACTGCAGGCCGCCATGGCAACACCAGGCATCCGAGGTGGGGTCAGAGTCCTCTGTCCACCTGGCTGTCGGGGCCCGCCAGTGCTAAGAGCTGCTGGGGCCTTACTGGTGTCTCTGCCTGCACTCTCCCTGGGGACTCGGAGACTAAAATAACAAGAGATGAGGTAGCTCTTGGGGAACCCACTTTCATTGTCAATCTTGAGGTCAAAGAAAACCAGGGGCCTGTCTTCTGCTTGGGGGTCAGCGAGGCTCTCGTCCAGTGCCCTGAGGGAATTGGGGCCCTCCAGCTGGAGGCCGCTGGACTCACTGCTGCTGTCTTCAAGCTCGTGGGAAGGCTGCAACACACACAAAAAGTCAATAGGTCAGGAGTTCAGAGGCCTGGAGGTCCAGGAGAGACGCGCCCGCGCTCTGGAGCAAGTATGCGTGTGTGTGTGTGTGTGTGTGTGTGTGTGTGTGTGTGTGTGTGTGTGTGTGCGTGCGTGCGTGCGTGGAGTACAGTTGGGGAAATGCCTCCATAAGATTGCGCTTAGGCAATCTGTGGGGCATTTTCTTAATTAGTGATTGATATGGGAGGGCAAAGCCCACCGTGGGTGGTGCCACCCCTGGGCAGGTGGTCCTGAGGTGTGTAAGAAAGCAGACTGAGCAAGCCAAGAGGAGTAAGCCAGTAAGTAGCACTCCTCCATGGATTCTGCATCAGTTCCTGCCGTGAGTTCCTGCCCTGACTCCCCCCCCCCCCCATGACAGACTACAAGCTGTGTCCTGAAGTAAACCCTTTCTTGCCCAAGTCGTTTTGGTCATGGCGTTTACCACCCACTTTTCTGAAACACTTGCCTTCCACACACCTTCAGCCAAGAGCAGTCATATTGCTGCTCACTAGAAAGCTAACCAGGGCTGGGCTTCCCTATAGAAGGCTGCTTTTCACCCAACTTACATTTTGCAGTCCTGTGCCGGGCACCCCAACTTCTCCCCAGCCTGCCTTGCACCCAGGGACCCCACATGGCTTGCCTTCCCTGGGAGGACCTTTCTGGAGGCGTTCTCCTAGTTGCTAGCGGAGAGCAGTAGACTCAGTCCTCTTCCCCGTGGAAGAATCCCGTCATTTTCTGTCTGTGGCTTCCAGGGTCTGTTCCTCTACTCGGGGTTTCTGTCTGTAGGTCCCAGTGTCTATCCTCCCACGTGGACTGGGGGGCAGAGCCGAGCCACCCCGGCCATGGCCTTCCCCAGTCGGGGAACATTCACTCTGCCAGCCACTGAAGAGCAGGCTCACTCGCCCAGTCAATTCTGCTACCACGGACATGACAAACGGGCTTCCTCTTCCTGGGTCTTCTTCTAGCTTCACGCATCACTTCAAAAGCCCCTTTGTGGCCCCAGGTGCTTCCACCTGACTCTTGGCAATGACTTCCCCATCCTTCTGACGATGTCCCTTCAAGGCCTCGAAGGCAATTTTCTAGAGCAGGACTCCTGGGGTGCCACACAACTGGACCTTCCGGTTAGCGCCTTCATCTTCACACCACATGGCAGGAAGCCTCATTTCTCTATCGGCCTTCTCTGAGGGAACCTGTGAGTGTCTCATTAACAAGACGCCTCTTCCCCTTCCTCTGCACTGGGACCAGAGAGAGGAAAGGCTGGGCCTGTCCTTTAGCCTGGACACAGCCCTTCCTGCCCCATCTCTGAGAACTGCCATGCACAATGGCAGAGGCTGGTCTCACTGGAGCACCGTGTGCTTGAGCTAGGCAGCTGTAAACTCCTGATTTCCTTCTTTTCTTACCTCCCAAACCATTTAAGCAAGATGTTTCTAAAGGAGAGCCTACAGGGAGGCACACAGAGCATCTGGCGCCAGCGTCTTTCCCCCCCGGCTCAGCAAGGCTCTGGCCGTGCCTGCAGGCTTCTCTCCTCCATCTTCATCCAAAAACCAGAACAGGGTGTGAAGGACAGGAGTAGACGACAGACAGAGAGATGCTGGTGGGGAAAGGGAAGTGGAGGCGGAAGGGACTAGGGTTGAGAAAATAGAGGTCAGAACAGCCAAGGGAAGGGCAAAATACTCTGAGAAACTGTGGAGTGATGAGGAGAGCCCAAGGGACGGGATGGGGGCTCAAGGGTCACTGTGGACTATAAGCTCTACCCCCCCCATTCCCTGACAGAGGCAAGAGCCAGCCTTTCCTGTCCCTCCAGTATCACAGCCACTGTGGAAATGTCACTTTCTTTAAAACAAATGGGCATTCCTCTCGCCCAGATGCTTAAGTGAATCCCCCCAAATTCAGTGGCTTTGGCCAGGCCTGAGTGGCATAAAAAGCTCTGAAAGTCCAGGCCACACAGGGAAGGATTCAATTAGAATCTGCAGGGGCGGTACCCCGCAATCTGCAATTGTTTAAACTCCTCAGTGCACAGCCAGGTTTGAGAACCCTCGTCTACATAAGGGTTCATTCCATGTTTGATCAACAACCAAACAGACACGAGCCAAATCCTTTGGGAAGCCAGTATTCAGCTTCGAGGAGCCATCTAGTATCTTCCATCAATGCTCAGTGAGAATTGTGATCCTGAGGAACTTTCTCAGCACTAAAGCTCCAGCTACACCTGGGCTCAGTTTAGCAAGACTCATGCATCTCTGGGGTTTACAGGCACCAACTCCTAGCTCTTGCAGTCTTGAAAGCCTTGGAGGCACAACAAAGCTATCTGGAGACCAGGCCACCTAACTGGCTGCTACAACCCTTCTCCAGGCAGCTCTGCTCTTAGGCAAACCTTTCCCACCTTCTCAGGCAAGCACCCGACTCACGTTCTCTGATATGAGTGCTCATCAGTATCATGACCGCATCTCTGCACCGGCTGCTGTCCTGGGCCTCCCTTCCTCTGCCAGTCATCATTGCTGCGTCTATCACAGGCTGCTCCCTTAGCTGGACCCCTTCCTGCCTGGTCCTTCTGCTGCCAAGGTGCCTCATCATCTGCCACAAATGTGGGTGAGAACACCTACCTCTTCTGCTGTGACTCCTCAAACAGTGGCCCTGGCTAAGTGCAGGGCTTACCCACCTTTCCAGGGTTTAAGCAACAGTTCTCATCCCATGGACTCTACAAGAGACTAGGACTTGCTTTCTGCTCCAAAACTGTGACCGAGCTCTTCCAACGCATTCCGCCTTGTTTAGTCTCTCCCCCTCAGACAGAGCTGCAGGTCAAGCTGGGCCTACCCCAACTGGCTCACTAGGAAAAGGTGGCACTTCAACAGGCCAATGCTATAGAACAGCCCCTCACTGCAAGGCAGAACAAAGGCCCCACAGCGAGGATATTTGGCTGGGTAGCCTGAAACACTGTCCTCCCTCCAAGCTGCAGAGTGGGGATTTCTGGGGAGGTATGCTGTAGTGCCTCAGGGGTTCGGGAGGGTCCTAGAAGATAAGTTGGGGACTCCTGAAATGGTTAGTTTTTACATATATACACAAAAGCAATGGACTCTTCTCTTCGGCTCCCCAGGCCTGCTCTGCACAGTGAGCAATGCCTTCTCCCTGGTCACCTCTTCCTAACCTGAAATGTATATCTCCCTTGGTGGCCCTGGTACCCCCAATGATGGTGGAGTTGGATCCCCTCTTCCTCTTCCCATCTGCTACGCTGCTTGTGGCATCTCCCGAGCTGAACCCTGCACTATGTCCAGGGAAACTGCTGGGTTACTTCTCTCTACTGTTCCTTCCTAGGTTCCCACTTCCATCCATGGGCAGTAGCTTGAACTTTATCAAAGATAATGAGCTAGAAAGAAATGTCCAGGTACCAGAAGAATACACGCCATGGAAAGGCAAGGATCAAATTTTGGCTGGAGGTGAGAAATAATTAAAATGGGTCTCCTGGGTGCTCAGCTTGTGTACCTAAGCAGATGGCAGAGTGATAGCTCGAGAAGAGAGAAAGAGAATGTGTGAGGTACATGGGGGACATCTTGGCAGAGCTGACAGAAGGCCCTGACATTCTGGTCTGGCAGGCAGGAGCAAGTGTGGGCATCAGCTCTCTCTGGGCAACAACTGGTCAGAGTGGGCTGCGCAGAGTATAGGGAAAAGAAGACCCCGAGCCAATGCCAGAATGCTAACCTTTGCAAGAGCAAGGAGGCCTGGAATGGAGCGCCCAGAGATGCAAAGAGAAAACAGACTTCTGGGAAGAGGCCAACCCAGTCATGAACGCCATGGGCAGTCTGGGACCACCGTGCTGAGAGGCCTGGGGCTTCCCTGGTGCTGACCGGTAGGGTTTGCAGGCATGGTGGGGAGGTTCGGAACGTGCGATGAGGAGCGGTGTGAAGCACAGGCCAAGGGAGAAGCAGGGAGTGGGCAGAGAGAGACTGGCCCGAAGGCAGCGGATGAATCAGGAGACGCAGGCATGAGGTAGAGTGAGGTTTCCCACAGGGCAGGGGCTGGGCTAGCTGGGCCAGGACACAGGTGTGGGTCTTAGAGGCAAGCCGACTTCCAGGCAGAAGGGCAGCAACAGGCAAATCTGTAATTAGGTAGCAGATGCCCACGATTCCCACACTGTCCAAAGGGTTTCTGTTTCCTCCCAGGAGCAGAAGGTACAGTCAACAGGTAAGAGGGAAGACCAGGAGGAAGCCTAGAGAAGTGTCCCTAGGGAGCCAAATGAGAGCAGATGGGTATGACCAGAAGTCCTTTGCTCTTTGCCTTCCTGGGTGGCTTTTCTCCAGCTTGTCTCCAGAGGGCAGCAGAGAGTCAACAGGGCCCTGATTCTGGTTGTTTCTGCCAGCAGGTCTCCAAGAGAGAATGATTGAAACATCTCAGCTGGAGGGAGGTGATGGTAGGTTTGAGGGATCGAGGAACATGAGGTGGTGGACTGAGTCAGGCAGTCCATTTAGAGGTGGCATCAAGGAATGCAGTGTGGCATGTCACTGCTGGGCTGCTGAAGTGGCTGGCTGAAGGCCCTTCAGAGACCAAGGAGCGTAGGACAGATGGCGGGTGTTGAAATCAACCAGGAAGAAAGCAAGACATGAGGGGGAAGAAGAGATGTAGGGGCAAATCGTCCCTCCATGAGAGGGGAGGTGGGCAGGTGTCCGAGACGGACTGGGGAGATAAGGTTAGTTACACCCTAAGAGCCACCTCAAAGCCACCAGGTATGAGCTATACAGACCTTGTCCTGCTTCCCACTTTAGATGCTCCTAAGTGTGGAAGGAAGACAGCCATGTTCTCCCCCAGAGAGGAGCTAAGTTCCATGCAGGAACAGAAGACAAACGGCCCTACAGGGAAGATCCTACACGGGATCTGATGGCTGTGGAATAAGGGTTCACAACGGAGATCATTTAACAAGCATTTATTGAGCAGTCATACCTGCCAGGCCTTGGGATGGATAGAGTCGCTGCATGCATCGGCAGGGACATCTGGCCACAAGACTGCAGCAGTGGCATGGGGTGGCAAGCAGCCACGGAGGAGGGAAGAACTCAGGTTCTCAGAGGCCTGTCTGACAGAGGGCCTAGGCCTGGACTGGGAGGGATGAGGCCTCTTGAGTGGGTAAGGGGGTGGTAATGAAATTTCAAAGACTTCAAGAGAGGCCTTGAACTTGGGGATTCTCCACGGTGGCTTTGTTAGAATCTCTGGGGGAACCTGCTACCTGTGCACTACCCATGGAAAAAGCATTAGGCTGAGAAGCCACAGAGGAGCAAGGGAGAAAAACTAAGTTGCAAAGCCACTGGTGAATATCCGGGAGGAGGGGGGGAAGCCCCGGGAGAGCCCTGGAGGCTCTGTGCATCCAGCAGAGTTTGCTGATGTCCCTCTGTATGTAGGTTATCAGCAGGATGCCTGGGAAGCCCTAGGGTGGCAGGGGTGGTGGCCTAAGCTACCAGAGGAGGCCTGTGTCGGGGCATAACATCACTGGGGGATATAGGCTACCAGGGGTGTCATGAAGGCGGGTGACTCTCCTTGCTTTGTGTGAGAAAATGCAGATCTGACAGAGGACAGCAGGGTGCTTCTGGCAAGTGGTAGGCTGGCCGGAAGACTCGGTGTCAGAGCCGGCAGCTTGCTCTGTGGGATGATGGGAAGACCAAGCTGGTGGCTGGCAGGTGCCTTGAGGTAGACTGCAGGCCCTGCTGGAGTGGGAGGTCCAGAGTGGGTGGGAGGCTCTTCGGGTGCTCAGCAGGGCGGAGTGGCTTGGCGAGGAGGGTGTGGCAGTGGTATCCGGTGGCTCTGTGTATTTTCCAATACAGAATCTCAGGCTGCGGCCGGAAAGAACCTTGGGGACCCCTGAGCTAATCTTTCTCCCTACTCAGGCTCTGTTTCCCCTGGACGCTTAAGAGTCTAGTCTCTAATAACATACCTCCAGGTACAGAAGAGTCACTGGTTTCTCTATAAGATGCCTTTAAAGAAGTTTTCTAATACGAAGTAAAATCTTGCATGTAGCTCCTGTGGTGGTTTGCATGAGAATGTTCCCCATAAGCTCAAATGTTTGAATGCTTGGACCCCAGCTGGTGGAACTGTTTGGGAAGGATTAGGAGGTGTGGCCTTGTTGGAGGAGGTGTGTTACTGGGAATGGGCTTTGAGGTTGTCAAAGCCCTTGTCATTCCCAGTCAGCAGCGCTCTCTGTAATTTGTGCTTGTGGATCAGATGTGAGCTCTCAATGACTGCTCCAGCACCACGCCTGCCTGACTATTCTACTATAAGATGCCTTTGCCATGGTGTCTCTTCCCAGCAATAGAAAAGTAAGTAAGTCATCCCTGCCCGTTATTTGTTACCCATGGACACACTCTATCCACCACTAGCCTTCATTGATTGATTTTGTTGTTGTTTTGTTCGTTTGTTTTTCAGATGGGATCTCTCTACATATCCTCTCTACATATCCCTGGGTGTCCTGGAACTCACTACGTGGACCAGACCAGCCTTCAATTCACAGGGATCCATACTTGCCTCTGCCTCCCAAATGCTGGGATTAAAGGCAGAAACCACTACACCTAGCTCATTGTTTAACCAGAGAATGAACTCTTGTCCAGCTCTCCTCATGGAGAACTTAGCAGATAGAAAATATATAAGGAAGCTCTAGACAAGGGCTTTGGATATTCCAGAGGACAGCCAGGCCCTGGAGGAAGCAGTCTAGCAAGCATTTCAGAGGTGTCTGCCTGGTGCAGTGAGGGGCTAGGGTGCAATAAGCATGCAGTTGGTACTTGCAAACTCTCCTTGGTACAGTTTAGGCTTTGATTGCCTCACTAGAAAGTTCCCCAGGTACCAGACGAGCCCCAGAGTCACCTGCTGTGGCTGCAGCCTCTGGGGTCTTAAATGAGGGGAGGCAGGAGTCCTAGGCCGAACTCCGAGTTACTCACCAGATTCTCGGTATCTGAGTCTTCCGAGCTGCTGATCACCACAATTCGCTCTTCTGGAATGGAGAGGGGATGGTGGCATTAAATCTTTCCTGAGATATCCACTGGCTGGGGTGAGAGATGGCCACCCAGGAGAGTCCTTGTAAGCCAATGGACTGAGGGTGGCAGACGCCCTGTCCTGTGTGCATCAGGAGGAGATAGAGTGTATATACCTCCAAGTAATAGTGCTTGGCACTGGCTGAGTTTTGGAGGAAAGGAGTCAGAACTAGGGCATAGGCCCTCAGGTGTCCCACACTGGAATCACAGCCAAGTACAGTGTAAACTACCCCCACATACTCAATGGCAGCTCAGAGCAGTGTGTGCATGGGAATCCTGGTGGCTTCGAGCGCCTAGGTGGGATCAGAATGTGGGGTGGGAGCTGGGGGTATTCCAGATATCTGAGGACAGCATGAGGGTCTTACCCAAGTGCCAGCTTGCCTAATCTCCTTACCTGTTTTCTCTGTGTCGCTGGTAACATGGTTGCTGGTGGGCTGGGGGGTCTCCTTTTCTCGGATGGGGCTCTCAGGGCTGGGTGGTCCATCCAGATGGGGAGGAGAGATGGCCCTGGAAGTGCTGGGCCTGGGCTGCTCCGGGGAGCTAGAGATCAACCTGTTCTCATCCTCCTCTGTGGACTCCATCTTGATGATCTTCCTGTGGCAATCGCTATGGCAGCACTTCCTCTTCATGGGGGTGATCGTCTGAGAGGCCTCCTGCACAGTGGGGGGTTAAAGGGGGTGACTCAGGAGTCTCTAGGGTTGCTGGGCTGAGAACCCTGAGCGGTGTGCCAGGGGCTTGTGGCATGTTTTTGCTCCTGTTCCTGTTCCTGGCCAGGCTGACCATGTCTCTGCTAATAGGAAGCTCTCTCAGGTTGCCATGCACTCTGGTCATGGCCGCTGACCAACAACATCTCTGTTTTCCTCACAGCTCTGGCCGTCTCAGCATCCCAGCCGGGCTGAGGCTGGCTCAAGCTTATTGGGAGCTTCCTAGGGGAGCACCCCAGAGCAATGGAGAATACGGAGTCCGTGCTGAGCAAACAAAGACCTCAGGAAGGCCCCGATTCTCATCCGGCTATGCCTCAATGCTGGCTGGAGTCTGAGCCTTTCTGGTGAGGCGGGGCTGAGTAGGGGACTTACCTCTCGATAGGTGGAGCCCTCTTTCATAGAGAAGGCATATACTGGCACGGGGTGTGCCCCGGGCACTGACTGTACCACAGCCACAGGTGGGGTCTTGGACAGCCTCAGGGCCTGGGCCTGGGTCCTCTGCACTTCACTGGGCTGTAAAATCAGGTAACAAGACAGTCAGAAATGACCAGGGGCCCTGGGCCTAACAACCTGCCTCAGTTGTAAGCTTCTTGGTCCCAATCAAATTGTTCAAACTGAGACAAGTAGTTCTTCCCAAACCCTCCATGATGGCACTTGCTTCTGACCTTGGGTTGCTGGTACCCAGGCACCACTTCAGTTTCCTGATAGGGTAAGAAGATACCTCAGGGACCACAGAGCCCAACTCCTCAGAAGATGCCTGACCACTAGCCTCATTTGCTTGGCTCTAGAGACAAGCTGCTTGCTATTGAAAGTAGCACCTCCCTCAGCAGCGATAAGAATTGCAGCAGTGAGAAAATCCGAGCCCAGCCTCCCGTGAGCTGGCCTCGACCCCTGAGTCTTAACTCTGTCCAGCAGCTGTTACATATTGGAATTACTTAAAACTCACTGGACCTCAGTCTCCTCCCAAAAAAGTGGGATAATAACATTTGTTTCATATGACAATATGGACGAAATGTGCCAAACATCTTCAGCATATCTAAAAGAGTATACAGTACTTACAGAGTCTCATTAGTGGGGCTGATGAGGAGGGCTAATGAATATAATACTGGTTTTATTACTATTCCATGTCAGACTTGGTGCTCAGTGTTTTGTGCATCTATATCAAAATGAAGCAGGGGCGGCTCCCCAAAAAGTGAAAAAGGAGCTGGAGAGATGGCTCAGAGGTTAAGAGCACTGGCTACTCTTGCCAAGGACCCAGGTTCGGTTCCCAGCACCCACTCATCTGTAACCCCAGTTTTAGGGGATCTGACATTCTCCTCTGGCCCCTGCAGGCACTGCACACACATGGTACACTTACGTGTAGGCAAAACACTTATACACATAAAATAAGAATAAATAAATCTTTTTCTAAAATGAAAGAATTTCCACATGACTTACCCATTCCACTCCTAGGCCCTGCCCCCAAAGGACTAAAGGTGGATGTTCCAATGCAAGCTTACACGTGGGGCTGGGCAGGTAGTTCAATGGTAAAGCACCTGCCCACCCCATACCAAGCCCCAGATTCAATCCTCAGAACAGGAGCCAAAGGTTTAAACATCTTATCCTTTTCCTCATAGCCCCGCAATTGCTGGCATACAAAAGGCTCTCCTTCTACTCAGCAGGAACTCCGGAGGGCAAGGCTGGGTGCCTCTCCTTCCGTTCCCTCAACACTCCACTCACCAGCATTAAAGAAGCAGAAGACAGTGAGGGGAAAGTCACAACTGATTTGTCTTAGAACAGCAGTTCTCAGCATGTGGGTCACGACCCCTTTGGGGTTTGAATGACCCTCTCACAAGAGTTGCCTAAGCCCATTGGAAAACACAGCTATTTACATTATGATTCATAACAGTAGCAAAATTACAGTTGTGAAGTAGCAATGAAGATAATTTTATGGTTGGGAGGGGGTCACCATAACAGGAGGAAGCGTATTAAAGGGTCGCAGCTTTAGGAAGGTTGAGAACCACTGGGTTAGAGTTTTAAAATCATAAATACTTTCTTTCCCTGCTGAGGCAGGTGCTGTGAGGGCCAGAGCTGAATCTCCTAACAGGACTGACGACGACGACACAGTCACATTACCCTGAGATAGGTCTGTGCCTGCCTCCTGTGGCCTTTGCACCCACACACTGCTCCCCACCTCTTTCTGGACTCCTATCCTCGGCACTAAGGTACAACCATGGTGTAAAGCAGGAAGTTTTGTAAAGCAGGGCACTGCCAAAGTTCAAGTTCAAACTGCTTCACCGCTGAGTCTCTTTGGGTCTGCATCTCTGCAAGAGGCCTTAGACTCCATGCTGTCTTGTAGCTCTAAAATTCTCAAAGTTCTGCCTCCCCCAGGAAGCCTTTCCCGATTGCTGGAGCCCACAGCAATCACTTGCTCGTGGGTCACCCCAGGGCAAAGATAGCGAGGCTTAATACCCTTGTTGCCCATGAGAAGATCTGCTTGGTCCTGAGCCTACATCTCGACATGCAGACACACACAACGGAGTGAGCAGGATCGGGTGGAGAAAGACGCCAGGCGCAGGAAGGAACTGAGAGGACTTGCGCTGCCGCAGGGGAGCCATGCCTACGAGTGTTGGTGGAGGAGAATGGAAAGGATGCCTGTGCATTTCTACCCTGGGAAGCACTAAGTCAGAGCAATCAGAGGAGGGAGAACTGCCTCAAGAATGAACAAACTTCCTGTCCCCAAAGGCATCTGCGTGAAAGTCATCGAGTCAAGGGTGCAGCAGAGGGAATACCAACAGGAGACAACCTAAGGATGTCTTCCCACCCTGAGAAACTGTGGGTTTGGGGTATGGGATGGCCCTGGAATCTGTGGGATTGAGCTCTGACTCCCAGCCTTAAATCCAAGAACCATGTGGGGGGGCGGGGGGTGGAGGTGCACCTATGCCAGCCCCAGAAACTGGCTCATACATTTAGTATGAGCGTCAGGGATATCCTGTGTCACATCCAACAGGGCCATTGTTTCCATTTACTTCCTTCACTTTCTGAGCACCCCTGGGTCTGACCCCTCCTGAACTAGCTCATGGCCCATCAAGAGCTACTCAGGCATTCGGGAATGCGGCACTAGCCAGCCAACCCTGCCTTAACTCTTCCTTCACACTCTCCTTCTGAGGGATCCAGTCCAGCCATTTGCTGTCCCCTCTCAGGCATTCATTCTCTCTGCTACCACAGGACATCAGGACTCCTTGCCTACCACCTCTCCTCACACACCAAATCCCTCTCACCTGCTCAAGGTCAAAAGAGTCCCTGGGAATGCTGGCTGCCTCTGGGGTGGCTCTCCTGGCTACAGCTGCATCTGGAAAAACAAAAAAACAAAAGGAGAGAGAAAGCACACGGCCAGTCCAGCAAGGAGAATTCTGGGTTGGGGCAGTGACAGCGAGGCGGTCCTTGCTTTTCCTGGGTATTCACTATTGAGCATGTCTCCACAGAGGGGCTGCAGCTGGCTGCTGCAGGCATGAATCCACCGAGAACAGAGGGGAAGGTAGCACGGCTCTAAATCCCAAGTGCACACCTTTTCATCTTTTGGGAATCAGCCACTGCCTAGATGGAGAAGATACAAGCTCATCTCCATTCTGGGACCGCACCTTTACAAGCCCGTAGCCATCAGCTCCAGGAGGGAGCCTTTGTTCTTGGAACCTGCCAGTCACCAGTAGGGGTACCCCTCAATAGCTGCTCAGAGTTGACCTTCCAGCCCAAAGATTTAAACGAAAGACCTGAAGGTGTCCATGTGCCCTCATGTCTCTGTTCTGAAACCCCCTCGACGCCATCAGCTCATACAGGATGCAGCTCCTGGATTTTGATTCAGAGCCAAGCATGTCTCTGAGCTACGCTATGTGGCCCAGAATCTTCTCCCAGTTTGACAGGACAACTTCTGAGGTAGGAGCTGGTCTGCTACTTCTGTACCTCATAAGAGCCCAGTACCAGTAAGGACCTCAAGGCTGGCAGCTGGCTGCTTCATTCTAGGGAATTCTTCCTTTCAGTGGCTGACCAAGTACCTCCCTGCTAGATTTTCTGAGCCTCCTTCTCTCCTAACCTTACATCCCAGTTGACTTCTCTTTTCCTGGACATGAGGGACTTAAGAGGTCACATCCGGCTGCAAGGATACCACATCCTGCTCTCAGCTCAGCAGCTTCTCAATTTCCACATGTTCCCCAAGGCTGATAAAGTCACATCTATTCCACAGAGTCTTATAAGCTAGCCAAGGGCCTCCTCTGGGTGCCTGCCACACCAGATCACCATATCCTTTTATTCTGCCTTCTGGAACCCAAGACCTAATAGTTGTCTTTCATCTATCAAATGGAGATAGATCATCTTTTCTGTCTCGGCTTCCCTTGCGGGCCCTTCAAAGGTCAAACCAGCTGCCCATGAGCGTGGCCTCGCCATTTACCTGTCCTCTGGGTGATACAGGAGATGAGGTCCTGCAGGCACCACTTGAACTCCTCGAAGCCGCTGGTGCGCAGCTGGACTTGCTGGTTCTGGGGCTCCTCCTGGCTCAGGCGGCAGAGGGCCTTGCGCAGAAAGCTATGCATGTCCAGCACCTCCTGGTCGGAGGCATAGAGCTTCATCTTATCGACCAGCGCGCCACCACTGCGGATGCGCTGCAGCACAGCTTCCAGGTGGCCCAGCTGCCCAGCTATTTCCTGGTAGTCCCTCTGGTAGCGTGCGTTCACCGCCTCAAGCAGCTGGCGCTCCTGCGCCTGCACATGCTCTACCACCTGGCGGACGCGTGCGCGGATCCGCGCCTCCGTGTCTGCGCGCGCGTGCTCCAGCTGGCCTATGGTGGAGCGCATCTGCGCGTGAGCACTGTCGAAGACCCTGTCCTGCTCCTGCAGCGCCTGCGTCATGGTGCCCAGCTCCTCATACCGCTGCTGGATCTCGTCGCCGATGTCGCACCGGAGATGGTTGTGGTCGCCGTCCAGGAGGGCGCATGCGCAACACAGAGGTTTGGCACAGCCTCGGCAGTAGATGCTGCGGACACATAGGAAGGACCCAGTTAGGACAGGCTCTTTCTCAGTTTATGCTTTTCCCTACTCAAGTGTCTGTGTGTTATGCTTATGATAACGGATCTATCCATAAAATACCAGACGGTAAAAAGCTACTACAGAGCCTTTAGCAAGTTCGGGAAGTAAAGGCACTCGCGGCCAAGCCTGACAACCTGAGTTTGATTCCCTAGAACCTATATGGTGGAAGGAGACAACCGACTTCTGCGGTCCTCTGACCTCTGCATGCGTGCCACAGCACACGTGCACCCACACACATACACACATTTTTAAAAAAGCTTTAAAAAAAAAAAAAACCTACCACAGTAACAATCCCTCTACCTATGCAGCAATTCAGACACAGACAAAAAGAAAGATCCACTCTCCACCGTTTCTCACCAACCCCTAACCCTAGCTCCGACCCTACCCTGCCCACTCAGGCCTCAGTTGAGCAGGGTATGGTTTCTTCTTCCCACCTCTCCACGTCCAAACTCCAAAGCAGCTGACGTGCATGTCACTCCACGTTTGCAAGCACTGACCGGGAGCTTTTATCATTCCCTTTTCACAGACAAAGAAACCAGGACTTAACAGCTAAACGACGTGGAGGACTAATGTTTGTTCCCAAACAATAAAATCATACTACAATTTTACAAGTTACCTGGTAACTTCCTTCTCTAATCTTTCACTCAGGACATTCCTTTAGTACACAGGGACAAACCTAATGTATTCTTTAATAGCTCCATTATAACTACATGGACAATTGTTTAGTTCAACAGGCTCCCTTTTGACAAACACTCACGTGATTTCCTATTTGTGCATTTTCTTCCTGCCTTTCTTCCCTCTCCCTTTTATTTTTTTGGCTGAAGTGAACAGCGATTAAATAACATAACATCCATGTTAGGCACCCTAATGTATGGGTGCCTGTCTCTCTATGAAATAGAGTACAAATAATAGATTGCTAGATCAAAGAATGTATCTCTCTATCTTAATATTTTATGCATGTAAAAATATTAATTAATGGTAAGTATATGATGTTATAGATATTTTAATTAGTTGGATTTTTCCAGTTCTATATCACAACATGGTATATGTGATATATATATATATAGTTTTTATTAGTCAATTTAATATATAGGCTAACAGAGACTTTCACAGCATTTACTGTAGCCTTTCTATCTAATTTTTGAATATGTTACAAAGTGAAGGGACTTTGAATGTGTGATTAAATTAAGAATCTTGAGGTTATAGGAGCTGCAGAAACAGCTCAGGAGTTTAGAGCACTTGGTGCTCCTGCAGAGGCCCCCAGGTTGACTCCCAGCACCTACACGGTGGCTCACAATGTCTCTAACTCCAGTTCCAGAAGATCTGATGCTCTCTTCTTACCTCTGTGAGCCCTAAGCACACATGTAAGCATACATACATGCAGGCAAAACACATAAATAAATAAATCTTTTAAAAAGATTATTTAAAAAGAAGTTTAAGATTGAGAGATTATTCTGAGTTATCTGAAGAATTGTAATAAAAGAAAGAAGGGAGGCAGGAGAGTGAGAGAGGACCTGATGGGAGCAGAGGCTGGAGTCACGTCCTCCCGATGGCTTTGGGGATGGAAGGGAATAGGTGCCAAGGAATGTAGGCAGCACAGACCCATTTCAAACATCTGAAGTCCAGGGGGACAAGAAAAGGGATCTGTGTTGTTGTAAACCCGAGCTGGTGGTGATTTGTTACAGCAGCGATGGGAAGTTAACACAGGAGCCAGGTAGCAGCCTCGGTCTAAGTTCCTAACCACAGTAATTCTGTGGCTTCAAAAGTTACTGGGAAAGATACTTTCAGCGGCTTCTCCAGAGATAGTCTGCAATTTACTCTCACCCCCAATGTTAAGAAAAAACTCACTTGAGACCTGGGGAAAGGTCTTACCTGGGGCCACTTTGGCCTCAGTAACCAAGGCCAACACGACCCGGAACTATCAACAGAATGCTGCTGGCCAGACCCTGGTCCTCTGCTTTACCAGCTCTCACCCTCCACAGACCACTCAAAGTGAATACGCCTCAGCACTCATTCAGACGCTGGAGGCAAAGGATTCCCAGAGAGCCCGGAGTGTGGGAAGAGAACAGGCCCCGAGTGCACAGCTCTTCATCCATGGCATCTGATCTACGGAACAGGGTCCTGTTACCCAGAGGCGAAACCAGAGATAAACAGCTGTGGCGCAGAGGGGGGACTGTGCCTCAGGAGCATGCCATTTGCAGGTCACTGACCTTCCAAAGCCCCTAACTTTCTGAAAAGGCTAGAGGTAGACCCAGAATCCGGGTGACCCATCAAGGGGCTGCCACCTAGACCCGGGAGTGATCTTAGCCAAGTGGTTCCTTCCCCCTCATCTGAGGGGCACTCACTGGGCCTGTACTATTGTGCTTGGCACCATGAAAGAGGCAGAGGTGAGATGGATGTCTGCACAGGGTTCTGTGCCAAGAACCTGGTTTAGTCAAGACAGAGAGTTGTATCTCCAGAAGGGCATATGGCCAGTTACTTCCTTCCAGAATACACAAAGGAATTCACTAAAACACTACTGAGTCAGCAAGAAATTACTCAGCAAAATGACCGTAACACACCAGAATTGAGAGAGTGATAGAGAAAGGAGAGGGAGAGGGAGAGGGTGGGGGGGGAGAGAAAGGGGGAAGGAGGGAGGAAGGGAAGAAGAGGGTGGGAGATCTTAATTCTATTCCATCAAAGGAAATAAAAACAAATTGGGGTGGGTGGGGGTTCCACTCACAACAAATAATCCAAACCTGTTATAAAATACTTAGACATACTAACAAGAAATATGCAAGATTTATTCAAAGAACATAACAAAAACTCATTAGAAATAAGTCTAAAGAACAGAAAAGTGGGGCCAGTGAGACGGCTCAGTAGATACAGGTGAGAGCCATCCAACCTGACCACCCGAGTTGGATCCCTAGGACTCACATGGCGAAGAAAATAACCCCAGCTTCTTTGAGTGGACCTCTGACCTCCACATCTGTGCCGTGGCAGATGCACACAGGTACAAGTACATAATCAATCAGTTAATGTCCTGGCATGGCGAACCGGAAGAGGGCACAAAGCCCAACTCCTAACCAAGAAGCTACCTGCAGCTGACAGAGTTTTCTTCAGTGAAGCGACATGGGGTGCATGAATCACACTTCAGGGCAGGCCTCGTGCTCAGGAGTAGCTGGACAACACAGAGCTGATTCCATGGTTTTGCTTTTTCTGTTTGCTTTTTTTTTTTTTTTTTTTTAGAGAGGAGAGAGAGAGAGAAAGAACATGCAGTTGGTTGAGTAGGGAGGAAGATCTGGAGTTGGGAAAGGGGAGAGAATATGATCAAAATATATTGTATGAAAATTTTTAAAAAATAGCCGGGCGGTGGTGGCGCATACCTTTAATCCCAGCACTCAGGAGGCAGAAGCAGGTGGATCTCTGTGAGTTCGAGACCAGCCTGGTAAACAGAGCAAGATCCAGGACAGGCACCAAAACTACAGAAAAACCCTGTCTCAAAAAACCACAAAATAAATAGATAGATAAATAAATATAAAGAAAATTTTAAAGCACTAAAGAAATAGATAAATGTAATTTTAAAATAAAAAAGATTCTTAAAACCCAGAAAAGTAGATGAGGTTCCTCATTAGAAAGACTAAATATTGCCGGGCGGTGGTGGTGGTGGTGGCGGCGGCGGCGGCGGCGGCGGCGGCGGCGGCGCACGCCTTTAATCCCAGCACTCGGGAGGCAGAGCCAGGCGGATCTCTGTGAGTTCGAGGCCAGCCTGGGCTACCAAGTGAGTTCCAGGAGAGGCGCAAAGCTACACAGAGAAACCCTGTCTCGAAAAACCAAAAAAAAAAAAAAAGAAAGACTAAATATTGTAAGAATGTCCATCCTCAAGATAGCGTAAATATTTTAAAGACATTTAAATCTAATTATGAGATTTTAAAAACTTAGCCAAATGATTATAAATGTCATATGTAGGAACCAATGAACCAAATAGCAAAGAAATGTTTGAAAACCTGTGGAGGGAAGGCAATGGGGACTCTTCTCAGTCAGGCAGCACTTACTAAAACAAACATGGAACTAGAAGAGTAGGAAGAGTCAAAGGACCTGGCTTAAAACACTGGACACACCACTCATTCAGTAGGTAGTATTCATTGTGTCCTGGGTCCCCAGCTCTTCCTGACATTCTTAGGGCAGTGAATGGCACCACCATTCTCAAGCCAGACACTATGGGATCATCAAAGATGCCTTCCTCTCAACCACTTCAACAACAGTTCACCAGTAATTCTTTTTTAAGATTTGTTTATTTATTTTATGTATGTGAGTGCTCTAGCTGCATTATGACTTTATGCCAGAAGAGGGCAGCAGATCCCACTATAAATGGTTGTGAGCCACCATGTGGTTGCCGGGAATTGAACTTGGGACCTTTGGAAGAGAAGCGGAGCCATCTCTCCAGCCCTCACCAGTAATTCTTATTGTCTGAGCCTACCTTCATCTACTTCAAAAACATTAGGAGGTCAGCTATGTGCAGCAGAGGCTTGGACAAAAAGATGTGACAGAAAAATTCTGGCTCCTCACCTGTCACATCACTGCTACTGTCTTCGTTTTTGCCGGTCTGGGGCACTACCCAAAGCTTGGCCTATCTTGGTCCCTCCTACTCCACTCAAGACTCCCCCAGTGCCTCCACCCTGTAATTTCCAAAGGAGAAGCTGAGGTGTGGGTGTGGAAACTGTGCCCTTTACGGTCACAACCAAAAGAGCTCATGTCAGTTACATGATAATAAAGAAGACCCAACTTTTTCAACAAGATTAGAGAACTGAGGGGAAAATTCATTGAATTTTGTGATGATACATTATAATTACATACTGATGAATATGAACAGAATTTGCCAATAAATGTTGCAAGAAAGAAAATGAATTTGGGGACTGAGAAGATGGTTTAGTTGGTAAAGTGCCTGCTGCACAGCATGAGGCCTGA